TTTCTGAACTAAAGGAACAAACTTTTCAATTTCATTTGCAATTTTTTATCTTTATGATTATCTGACATAATAGGTAACACATTTGATTATCAACAATATTTGTCTTTCTATAACATATTTTGTACATTTTAGTTATCAACATATTATTCTGTTACTTTGTATTTCAAAAATGCCATGATATGGTGCCAGCAGGGACAGATTTAGCAGCAGGATTTTATTATTGTTTCAAATCAATAAGCAATATAATAAGACTTTTTAAAACACTCTGCCATCACAAGAAAAGCTTGTATCCAGGCAGTGGGAAAATGGCAGAAAGAAGTATTCCTTACAGTGAAATTGCATTTGAAGCTACTTAACTAATTGCAACTCTAAAAGTGACAAATCAAGTTCAGATTTCTAGTAAAAAATATGAATCTTTTTTCAGCATCTTAGCTGCTTGCTATTCACAACTGTTTCCTAAAACATAGATATTTAAAATTTGTTTCTTTTTCTTTTTTTAAAAAAAAAAAATTCACATTCCTTTGCACTCTTTAATAATGGTTGCTAGGCTTTTGGACCCAAAGACCATAACCATATTACCATTGCTAGCTGCATGAAGGTAAGTTAAAGACTTTAGTCACGAGTGAACTTCTCAAGAGGTTCAGTTTCCAGTGCATATGAGAAGTTTGGGTTCAAAAACCAAGGGCTGGTGAAAAAAAGTGGGAAAGGACAGAAAGAAATTATGTGTTCTTCCTTTTTTTATTTGTAGACAGTTATTAGCAACTATTGGATTTGGACATCAACATGGCTGTAAAGTATCCTCCAGTGCTAAGATATTAATGGAGCTCTGGGAGCTCACCTCATGTAGGCACGGCTGTGCTTGAAAGGATGCGCTCTGGCAAACCACAGCTATCTGTGAAGTTGCTGGCACTCCGGACATGCTCATAACTGCTGTTCAAGACACTCCATCTTCCAGGAGTCTGAATAAGTGCCCTTTCCACTATATGTCTACTTGCAGTGCTTGAAAAAGTCATTATAGACTGGCTGGAATAACAGCAGAAATAATACAGCAATTTTAGATGAAGATCTATAGAAGTCTAGTAGAGGTTTTCATGATACAGTTTCCAATATTATGGTTGACACTACATTTTTTATGTGCTGAGACAGCAGTCATTTGGGAAAACAACCGCTAAGCTCAAAGCCTTGGCATGTCTACTTTGGTTTTTCATTTTTCTAGATAGAGATCTCAAGCTTGCAGTCAGAGAGGTCTCCTTTCCTACCCTGCTGCTAATATAAAACTTTCTCGGCCCCTAAAACAGAAGTTGTCTAGGGGGAAGCAGGGTGTGCACAGGTTGTGTCTGTATGTCCATTTCTGAGTTAAGCTACCTATTGAAGGAGATTATCTAGAGGATAAAAAACCATGCACAGTGCCCACAATGAGCTCTCGTAAGAAAAAGAGGTGCTATAAAGATTATGTTCCCCTCCTCCTCAGCACTATCTCCAGCTTTATGATTGTTACCATTTTTTCTTGCTTCTCTTCCCATCTCTTTTTCCTTTTCTTTGTACATGTGGTCTTAGAACAGGACTGACTGGATAATGATGTTTTCAGGTAGAAAAATAGAGTATCTTTTGTGCTTTGCAGCATGCACAGCATCCCAGGGAATAATGCAACAACATTTTTCATAGACAATTTTTGCATTCCCATTTCCCCCTGTTACTTTTTTCCCTCTTAGGGACTATCTGAAACTGTTCCATACGCACGGAGTAATCACACAGTTTCACGTTTCTTTGTTGAGGTGAGGCATATTTGTTCTAGAAACATATCCACAAACGAGAACACCTAACAAAGCAAGCCAAACCTATAACCAGTGAGGTCCCTTCCTGAAACAAGTTTTATGCTATTGCACACTTGTAAATGCAAAGCTAAAACGAACCCACTCAGACATGGGGAAAAAAAAGCTACACAGGATCTTTTCTACATCAAGTCTTGTGAAACTGTTTGACTCTGCCCTCTCAACAAAATCCACCCCTTAGGAAAGATCTGGTAGCAGTATGACAGATTATGTTCTGTTAAAGCTGAGTTTATTAATTCTATAGTAGGCACTGTAACATTTATTGGATAACATGAAAGATTTTAAGAGAATTAAGGAACCTGTTAAATAAACGTCAAGCTATGCTTTCTCTAGTGTTACCTCTGCTTTTGTTAGCTGGTTTTGAAGCTCAATAGGTTTCCATGACCCCATCACAGAGCTTTTCAGCAGCCTACAGGAAACCCAGAAGAATAAGAAACTACAGATGGTTCTGGACTGCTGCCAATAGCCACCAAAATACACGGTCAATATTTTTCACTTAAATGTTCATCACTACTGTGATACAATAATAACTGTAACTGTAAAACAATAACTTATTGCTTAGGGAAATACTAAAGATTTTATTTATTATCCTCTCTCCCCGTGAACCAAATACTTGTGGGATGCAAGTGGTACTGTCATTAAAGAAAGGTTTGGGAAACACTATCCATAAATAAACTCTTGGTTCCATTTGAATTTCTTGGATTCTGAGATATCAACAGGAGGAGTGTGGGCTAAATGATAGGGTAAAATTATAATAATAAGAGGTCTGGAAAGCTAGAGAATCTGCTGGAACACTGGAAAGCTATCATTTTCTCTAATGGTAGTAATCCTTTTTTTTTCTTCTATTCAAGTACTTCTTAAGATATACAGTCTAAAGGACATAATATTTATAAATTTTACTCATATTTATAAAATCACTTTTACAAATTATTTCTCTAAAGTTGTTTTATGAATTTATAAGGTCCTGTCTTCATCCCCAGAGAATATCTGTAGTGTTTGGCTGAAATCTATGGCAACTCTCTGGAGATGCTCATAAACTGCATTTTTAGTCTCTTGAGAAATTAAAATACCAAGTTACATGATAACCATATGCTCCCTAATTGGAAGGAATGCCTTCATCTTCTAAAGGTTACTCACATATGAAAAGATACTGCTCTGAACACAAAATCAATTGATGGCACATAATAATATAAAAAAAGAAGGGAAAGAACACCCGGCTTTTACGCTTGTCACCATTTTCCTGGGAAAGTCACAATTCTAAGTGCTTTTCATGACAACTCCACCTGCTGTCACTCCGCAAACCTTGTGAACCATGGGGAAGATGGTTCATAGCAGTAAGACAAGGCCAATCACACTATGGCTTTCACGTAAGCATGCTGTCCTCAGGTCCTGAGGAACAAAGCTCAAAATTGCAACTGACTGAGAGCTTCCCATCAGAAAGGGTCTCTGATGAAAAACACACTCCAAAGCCAAAATATTTTACAGAAGGTTTTTTTTTCCCTAGATTTTCTCAGTTGTCTATCACAAAACCTGAAATAAATATTTACACTTGCCTGGTCTGACCTGACGACTCTGGCTTGCAGATATAACCTGAAATACTAATTTTCAAATGCGTTTCCTGTTGGGTTATCTTGCCTCTTGGGGACAGTGGATCTGTGGCCCGGGTGCCTTTGCAGATCCCTCTCTCTCCTCTAAGCAGGACTCACACATGTTTCGGTTGAATCAGGTCAATAAATTAAATCAGGAAATATTTTTATTTAGAAAAGCCTTCATTTTACTTACAACCAAAATAGTGACACAAAATGTTCCACTGCCTTAAAATAATTTTGAATCATTTAACTCCTTGAACACTTTTCATAAGTAAATTTTTATCCTTATTTGGAACTGAAATATTAGCACTTTCTACAGGACCATGGATACTTACTTGCGACATAAAGTTTTGTGCTGTCAGAAGAGGATAACCTAAGACTGATCATAAAGCTATCTTTACAAGGTTCTTGCTTTTCTTGGTTACAGTCTGCTAAAATTCCTTTTTTCAATACTTGCTTTTTTATTACCTTGCGGACCTACTACTGTAAAATCGTTAAGTTTGTTACTAACCTCAGGGAGGTAAAAGTTTCACTCTGTTTTCACTAAACCCGTGTTTCAGTTATTCTAGATGTGAAAAAATATTACACATAGGCATAGTATTTATGCATATATATAGATATGTATATACTCAAACACAAAAAAAAATACAGTACTCATGCAATTCTACATCAAGAAAGAACAAAGGTGCATACAACATTTGAAAACAACATCCCCTTCCATCATAATATGCATACAGATATTACATAGAGATAATTATTGTAACAGTGCTACAATTCCTTATACATTGCTCTCGTAATATAGGTCTTAAATTTTTCTCATTTGCTTTCCTCTTCAGATTTCCAGCTACCTTTGTGGATGCCCTTTCTATGGTGTATGAGCTACACTACACCTTTGAACTGCACACCACGTGCACTGCGTTGCAGTCAAAGGGAAGAAATGGGAACATCAAACGCAGCTCCTATTCACACCTGCTCAGAGGGACAGTGGCTCTCAAATGCAGAAAGGATCCAGAAAACTCCCTGGGCTTGTGAGCATGGATAAATCACTCTACAGCTTTAGACTTGTCTGAATGCAGCAGAAGCCTCAAAGTAAGCCTTTGAATGTACATCTGCCTAGCAATACAACACTCATAACCGATTAAATTAAGCCAAACTGAATCTTTACCACGTTCTCATCTTTTTCAGAATTTAGAGAAAACAACAATACGGAATGGGATTATACAGACTTGAAATTCCGTATGTCTCAGTCAAGGTGTAATGCACATGTGCTTTAAATCATGCCCTATTTAACACTTGTGATTACACAGTTGACCAAATTCCTCCCAGAAAGTGTTTCCACAGCCTCTTCTAGTCACCTCACAGAAATATACAGCAACAGTTTTCTTCTACAGAAGAATCATTTGCTCAGCTAGGGATCCTTACAGACAGCTATAATTTCTGCCCTTGCAGCTAAAAAAAATAACTCTCTACTTTAAACCAGAAGATTTGGAAGATTTACCATTAACAAATACATGTACACACTGGAAACCAAAATAGTTTCAGCTCATTTACTATGAAAAGATAATAAGCTGTGTCCTACCTATGGTGGTAATAACAGTGCCAGCAAAGAAGAAGGAACTTCCCAAGTCCCAGTGACTGATCTGAGTAGATGTGTTTCCTAAAGGTATGATTCCTGCATTTATTGCTGCCACTACTTGCTGCAAGTTTAAAAAGATTTTTGTCAATATTCATGAAACAATATTAATATACATTAGACAGTAAATTGATTAAATTACTTGTTTAATCAAAGCAATAAACCAACATAGGATCAGTGTTGCTCTGCTGGAGTTTTGTCATTCAGTTAGGCTACAATTTAATCTTCAGCAGACACCCCAAGCACTTCAGCACACAGCAGATCTGTAAACTCCAAACCATTAAGGAGAATGCAAAATCCACAATATCAGTAACAGCATCACCTTAGCTAGATGGCAAACACAATTAATTTTACTGTTGCAACTATTTGGTAAGGAAAAATATGCATTAGACAAAGATTTACAATGAGAGTTTCCCAAAATATTCCTCTATTCAGTTAGGCAAGCAAATGTACTTCTTAAAACACAGTCATTTTAAAACTCCAAGAAAAAATGCCCATGCATTGTTTTGGATCAAATGAACTCCAATTAATTAAAACATTTTTGTAGAACAGATAATTCAATAATTAAAGATTAACAATTACACTGATGGTTACAAAACTTTCACCATATTAATAAAAAATTCGGTCAAATATCAAAAACGTATCTCTAAGTTTATACAACTATGTACTTTGTAAATGTCGCTCTTGAAAAATTCAGCCCTAGCAGCTAAAATGAATAAGCTTGCCACTAGTGACATTTTCATAGTCTCAAGAAATATGAAACATTTCCTATTTCAACAGTCACCTACTGTAAATTCTTAACACAGAAAGTATCCCTGTTTAGTTATATCTCTGTTGCAGATATATACCAGTATTTGAGTTAAACAGTACACAGCAAGAAAAAGTATTTTTAAACTTGTAATAAATATTTTAAGGAATGTAAGTTATCATTTCATTCTGAAACTTTAAAACAGGACTTATTTCATAATCGTGAGCCTTATAATAATAATTGGTGTTTAACAAAAGAACAACAGAGGAAGCAATACTGCAAAACTAAAAAGAACAATTTAACTAACTGATAGTTTCTGCTTGGCGAGTTGTCCAACAATGATTATGCACACAAAGATATTCAGCAATAGGGCAGACCAGAATGGTTTTCCGTGTGGGCAGTCTGTTGCAGAGGAACAGTGTTGTGCAGTAGTAGTAATTTTTTCAATCCCAAAAAACATTGATAATTTGCAAATGAAAACATTTTTGTTTCTAAACAGTGCTCATGGAAGTCAATTGACCTGGGCAGAAATGACAAAATACCAATGCTGGATTAAGCAGGCCATCCATTTTTCATGATGGGATCTCAACTTAAATCCACCATTTCCAGTTTGCCTTTTTCAAAGCTCAGATGCACAAAGTAGCCATTTTACAGTCCACAGCTGCACCTCCGCAGCCACAGGGATCTTGCTGCCACACCTAAGCCATTTTCAACATCCAGGGCAGTCAACAGAAAGCCAGCTGGGGTATCTTTATATAAACTTTACACTATTTTATCTTCTATGCCTTCAACTGTTTTCATTTTAACTTTTTTTAAAAACACCAGAAGGGCCAACATCAGAGATGTGGAATTTTCAGTCCTACCGAGGAAGGAGAAAGGATGGGGAAAGGGAAGGGGAAGAGAGTTTAATTTTCCTTTGGGTTGGAAGAATAAAGCTTCTTCTATGTTTGTACATCACAAACAACTTGGCAGCAGTAAATATAGCAGCACTGATACTGACAGGTGTTTACATTACTGTAGGAAAGGACACATCAGACTAAGCAGCGTGTGAAAACCGTCCTTTGTATTGATTTTATAATTTAGGCAACACAGATATTCTTTTGACATATAAACCCCAGTGTGCTGCATTATAAAGCCTACTGAATACATTTTGAGTGCTCTTTCATTTCAGTGGACTAAGGACTTTCATCACAAGTCCTTGTACCTGCAAATGGGAACATGCTCTCCAGTGAGGGCATGATACGGTAAAGCACTGGATCAATTCAATTTTACGGGACCATTCATGATCAATACGGTTTTATGAGACCATTCATGTTTTATTACAATTTATTTTACTGGATGAATGCAGTACCCAGAGCAACACACCTGTTTAGGCAGTCTAGCAAGACCGAGTTTTATACAGATCCAGATGTAAAATGTTTTCAGAGCTTTATACCATCACTACACATTTTTGAAGCCATACTACCTCAACATCTTCTATATGAAAGGTATCTAAACTGCTCAACGATCCATTACAGCTATGCATTTCTTAACTGCAGTACACTGTACCTACAGACTTCCAGGAAAAAAGATACACCTTAACCCAAAACTGCTGTGTTGGGTCAGACCTAACAAAACAAAACAAATGGCTACAAAAGACAATTAGCCGCTCTTATTATGTCTCTGATTTTAGTCAACTGCTAATTAGGAAAAGAATCAAGGCAAGTAGGCAAGTGATGCTTTCCCTTCATACATCCTCCTAACCTCTGACTAAGGACAGTTTTGGGGACTTTGTGAGTCGGAGGTTGCATCTGCATGATGGTGTTCAGACCAGTTTGGGTGGACCATTTTGTCATGAATTTATCTAACTATTTTTGGAGCTCACTTGTATTTTGGGAACCAAGTCATTCTGTGGCAGTAAGTTCTGCAATTTGCTTGTGGATCATTTAAAAAGCATTTCCCTTTTGAGATTTTTATGTGCTTCAAAGTAATTTTATAACTTCTTATGCTGTGAGAAACACCTGAATAGCAATTTCTTCTTTGTCTCCTTCAAGAAATTAATGATCTTATAGACCCATCAGCTGCCTCTTTTTTCCAAATTAAAAACTCTTTCTTATTAAATTATATGTTTACCTATTCCAAAAAAATCCAATGAATATTGTATATAAGTAATTTTTTATTGCCAGTATTTCTCATTGACTTTTTTCGCACCTTTACTAATTCTCCTTATTGATTGCTTTAAACATAGTTTTAGTCATAAGGGGCCAGATGATGCCTTCTTCATCACCGGGTTATTAATTTTCCAAATACATACTATTATGCTTTCTCCTGCACCGTTGCCATGGTTGGGAGGAGCTAGTCTTAAATACTAACAAAGCTGCTGCATTATATTCCATCAGAGTCTTCTGTAAGAGTCTTCCTTACTAACAAGGGTGACAGTTAGGTAAGGTTGCTGGTTCACTGAGATCAATACCACTATCTCACGAAGGCTTTGAATTTTGCCTGCAGATTTTTCAGGAAGGGTAAGTGCATTTTGAGTCCTTTGGATCAGAGGACAGCTTTTCTTCTTAGTTTGGTCACTGCCAATGAGCAGATACTCATCGAAGACTATTCCCAAGCATAATTTTAAAAGAAAATAATATATAACATAACTCCTAACATATGTACATTTTGAGGCACTGATTTCAGAGTAGCATGTTCTTTCTGACTACATCTACTGCACAAACTTACCTGGAATACTGGATATTAACATTTCCTTAGCACAGAATAAAAACCCAGGCTCCTGCAGCTGGTTTCCACTAGCTTCACTAAGGGCCAGGATCTCACCCTCAGTGTTCAAAGAGCATGCTATTCATTGTCAGTGCTGTTAGATTCAGTTTTCTCTGCCACTTTATTCTTGGTCTTCAGCCTTTTTTCTTGACTGATGCCTTACTGGTGGAGCAAACATAACCACCCCATTTGTCACAAGTTTGGCTTGTCAGTCTTTCCTTCCTTCATAACTTCTTTCAGTCACTTCAGCCCTTCGGCTTATCCTAACTTATACAGTAGCAATAGTAACTCTGTGCATTTTGAATCTCGAAACAGTTAGAATCATGAAAACTCTATATAATCTGTACATTTATCATATGTTGCAGCCTGTAAATACTTTGTGTGATCTTAACATGGCAATTTCTTGACTTTTAAAAAATTACTGTACAGTATTAAAGTTAACTGACTGCCTCAGTGGCAAATTTTCTAGTTTTTCTTATTTTTATTCCACTTACAAACTAAATTCTGACTTAAAAATCAGTTTCACTTCAGTTTCACTACAGAACCAGTCAGTATTAGAATAGAGATGTGGACAGTTTCAATTCTTAAATTATGTAGATGATTTCACCTGCCTTGCCTTCTTCCAGAACTTTTGCCTACCAGTTGTTTCATATGAGATGACTGAGAACTGAGCAGATGAGGGGTTACCCAGCACATAGCACCCAATCAAGGCCTCTATGTGCAATGATTTTAAGAATAATATTACATAGTTTCAGTAAAAGTAATGGATTTTTCTTCTTTAGTTGCCTTTATAACGGTGAAAATTTGGGCTTTTTTTGATAGTAAAGAGAGCGGAGATAAAATGATCAAATATTTAAAAATTTTAGGAACTTAATTCTCTTTTTTTAAGTTACATGGATTCTTCGGCTAGCTCTGTACTGTATCTTAGCAGAGGCTTGAGTCATGTCTGAGTACAAGTCCTAACTCGTACTACTTCCAAACCACCTGGCTTTGTATCCGTATTTGGGAATAAGCTTCAGTAGAGCATTAGAGAAAAGAAGCAGAGATGCTTGAGCCCAGAGTGGACAGGCCAGGCATGCCCTGCCTTACTTTCAAAAATGGGACCTGAGCTCCAACAACACATAAGCATTGCGTTCCCACTGTACTTTTTTGCTTGAAAGCAGAACACTGGGAGGAGGAGTGTGACAATATAAAATCTCATTTTGATTGAAAGCCAGTTTTTCATTTCCTATGTAATTCAGAAACACTTTCTGGTAAATACATTGCACTGTTTTGTATTATCACATCCCTGTGTTCACGCAGATACCTGTCCATAGAGGCCACGCTGAGCTACCCTTGCAGATCAAGACACAGAATTTTGTGACTTTTTTCTGTCAAAATGAGAGATAAAACAGCCTTTCAAACTGCACAGTCATTTTGTAAAAACAGGAGACAATTCTTCTAGGTCAAGGATTACGACCTGGGTCCTCTGACCCTGCAAAGAGTCAATGGAGGTGACTGACAAAAGCCAGCCTGTTGGCCGTAGAGCTGCACCCACTAAGCAGGGGTCTGCAGAGCCGCAGGAGAAA